ATCTATGTCTGGATCCCAGTATGAATGCGGAGCAAGGTCAGCAGCGCCATGCCTGTGATCGCGTGGCTATTTGAGGTGCCCTTGGGCTCCCTTGCAGCAGGGGAGAGCAAGTCTGCGAGCATCTACTATGCGGCCCCTTTGCTGCAGTCAAATCAGGCCCATTATACAATACTATACTATATGTATCATGTTTCATTATATTGTATTATGTTGTATTCTGTTCTACTATATTTTACTATATTGCACGACATCTTATCATGTTATATCTTGCAGTCAGCGCCTCGAATCTACACCTCAGGCTGCGGATGCGGAGAGATTAGCCGAGCTCCTGGAGCATGCCAGCCAAGTCGCGCATGAAGGCAGCAACATGCAGTGGGTTTAGGGTTTAGGTTTTAGGGCTTCGGGTTTAGGATTCCTTCCAGTGATTTCATTACTTGCTCGAGACCTTGCTGCAACTACAAGCACGACGACTTCGCAAATAGGGCACGTAACAGGCTCAGTTTGCAGTGAGGGCGGTGCACGCAGATCACACAGATTTCCCCGCAGCTACCAATAATATGAATAGTAATGATGGTAATAATAGCAACAATAGTAATTTTAGTCATAAAGGCAATTTTCGGAACAATAGTAATAACAGTCATATGAGTAACAATAGTAAGCAAAGAGTTAATTGTAATACTAGTAGTAACTGCAATAAACGTAATAATAGTACAATAGTAATACTAGGAATACGAGTAAATAGCCATAATACTAGTAACAGTAATATTATGTATACGAGTAATACTAGTAAGACTGGCAACGCTAGTAAGACTAGTAATACTAGCAATGCTAGTAGTACTAGTATTACTAATTCGAGAGTATGCAAGGCGTTCCCGAGGCATTCTCGACGCGTCTCTGAGGCGTTCTCGAGGCAATTTCGCAGTGTTCGCGAGGCATGGCGTATGGCGTGCCTATCAGCATGCAGCGGCGAGTGAGAGCAATTTGGAGCGAGAAAAGGCATTGGACGTCTTAGATTTTTACGGACTCTGGAATGGCGTGAGAATAGTTACTGATGAGGCTTACCAGGTAGTAATAATCGTGAATAATAGCAAATCATGGTAAATAGCATTAAAAACTAGTAAAGAATAAGAATGAACAGTCAATAATACTCAATTGTTGTGTATTGTAAAGACTGAAAAACAGCACTAATAACAAGAACGGTCCGCCAGACCGGATCAGACTGCTACTGGTACCTCACAGAAAACCTTAGCAGGCGACGCATGTCAGCAACCGCACATGTTTGGGGAGGTTGCAAATGGCGCGTCGAACAAATCAGGATTTTTGCGTGGGCTGTGGCCAAAATTCTGCGCTTTACAGGGGATTCCTCTTGGCAGGAATTTCTGTGGCATTCTGTGGCATGGCAGTGACAAGGTAGCAAGAGCAGGCAAAACAGCTTCAGCATGATGTTTGCCAGCTTTTTCGTTGAAACAGCCATTTTTTGGTGCGAGGGTGGAGGAACACAATGCTCTCCAACATGGATTTCGTTATTGTTCGGGCATACAAAGATTGTCTGGGAATCGAAAGCTCTCGAACATGGACGAGATCATGGTTTGGCCATGGATGCTCTGATGACCGTCTGCTCTGGTAAATGGATGATATCAGGTAATCGTATGCGATCGAACATGGACCACATAATGGTCGAGGCATGAATGTTCTGTTCATCGGATGCTCTCGAACACGGAATATGTTGGGTTCGGGCATGGTGTTCTTGGAACCGGAATGCCGCGAACAATGAGGCGACCAGGGATTTACAACAGATCACGCCCTGGACCCTTGAGGCGTGCATTGGACTAGATGGGGCTAACCCTGGACTACTGGTGCGACTGAGAATTTAAATCAGGACTCCCTGCGCCTCTGACTAATGGGGTGTGCATTGGACTAAGCGGGCGAACCCTGGACTGTGCATGGATGCTCTAGTTATCAGACTTTCTTCAATATGGATGAGATTATGGTTTGGGACGCTTTGGTAATCAGATACACTCGAACATGGACGATAGTATGGTGAATGCAAGGATTCTATGGACGTCGGCCTCCATGGTCTCACAACTCCAAAGCTTCAAAAGCGCGATGCATGACGTACGCAGCACTGTCTGCCTAAAAAGAAGACGAAAGTGCATGTCGTGCCACGCAGGCAACCCCGGAAGGGGCGGTGGAACACACATTTGTTGCGTTTATGCTCCGTCGGAGCCAATAACATCAGCAGTAACAGAGGAGCAACAGTACTAGTAAATTAATTAAGCTCATTTGTCGTGCGCTTCCACGAGACCTAATTAAATTCGCTTAATTCTTTCACTCATTAAATTAGCTCACGTGGTTCACTTACTTCTTTTAATTAGTGGGGAAGTGAATGAAATGAACGCACCCCCACGACAGGTGTTTCAAGAGGTTTACTGGCTTCCAAGGGGTAAGGATTCCAAAGGCTCCAGATAATAGGTTTTACCAAGATATCTTCATAACCTCTAATATTGGATGATGGGACAGATTCCATGGGCTTGTGATAACCTTCTTTAATCTTAACATCCTAATAGTAAAGTAACTAGAACAAGGAGTTCCAATAGCACGAGAACTAGTACCAGTAATAGCAATACATATCAAAAGTAAGAGCGGTATTAATACTAGTACGCATAGCACTAACAGTAACAATAGCAGGAGCAGGTAACAATAGTAGTAAAGCCCCAAGCCCTAAACATTAGCACTAGTTGTAGTAATGGTAATAGTAACTGGTGATAACTAATAGTAATAGTAATAGTAATAGTAATAGCAATAGTAATAGTAATAGTAATAATAGTTATAATCGTAACAGTTTGTAATAATAGCAAAATCGTAATTCTAGTAATAATAGGTATAGTAGTACTAATCATAGTACTAATAGCAATTAGTAATACTAGTAATCATGGTAATAATACTGAGTATGTCACCGCCAAGGTTTTGCAGTCCCCAGCCTTGCAGTTCGATCTTCTCGAAGAAGGAGGTGCCCACACGGCGAGGATAGGAAAAGCAGACCTTTATCTTGACTATTCTCACGAATACCAGTATTAGTACTATTGCCATTGTTGTTGTTAGCATTTTTGATCAATGACGGTTGTTATAATTTTCATTTGTTTTTTGTTACTGTTGTCGTTCCTGTCGAAACCCCAAACCCTACACCCTAAACCCTAAAGCCTTAACCTGAAACCCTAAATTTGCTACTTGCCAGGCCTCAGCGTTCCCCTCTACAACTCGCAGCTGATGGGCTGGACGGCGCTTACCTACCAACACCAAAATCTGGAATGTGCCGTTAAGGCCAGGCGCCTTTAAATAGGGCAATGTAGGGCGATATAAGGTAATATTCGGATAATGTAAGATAACATGGGAAGCGCTTTAGGGTTTAGGGTCTACGGTGTAGGGTCTAGGGTTTAGGATTTATATTGGGGTGATATTGGGGTTAGTGGAGAATCAGATGGAACATGAAGTGGAAACTGGGATTATATAGGGGTATATACGCGGTTTAGAGGTTTTATCCCTGTGTATCCGTGTATCCCTAGGTATCCCCATACAACCCTATATATCACTATATATCGCATCCATCGTTGTGAAATCCCTGTGCAACCTATGTGCCTGAGATCTTGCGCGCCGGTATGAGTAGCAGAGCAGCACTGTGCTTCCAAATCCTTGCAGATCCTTGCAAGGTGAATGGAAGATTGGTGGATTACAGCAGCACCTTGCTTGCGAAGTGTTGAGCTGCGTGCACATGCGTGCTATGATGTAATTCCAGACTTGACATCCTTGCGTCCCCTTGAGGTGATCCCAGGGAGGTCTACTTCAGCAATTCAAGCTATGCTACGGCTACGTCAAGTTTGGTGTTGGATGGAGTCCAGGTGGCACCTTGACAAAGATCTGCATGTCCTCGGCGAGCACGGAATCAATTCTTGCTTATGCATAGAGGGGAATCCGCATGAGCTATAGTCTGAACTCCTAGTATCCACCTCAATGACCCCTGTAGAAGCCCCTTATATAATCCCATATATTACCCCGTCAAGGAGTCTAGACTATAGCTCACATGCGGCTTTTTTCGCGTGGTTTCCAAGGCAGTCCTCACAAGCAGCTTGGCTTTGTTACATTGAGTGCATCAACAGGGCCTCAGGGCGAAATGTGTCATGTGAGCTACTGTCAATAGATATTAGCCTTATTAACGGACCCTTAACAATGGACACAAGGGTCCCTCTTGTCGTTTAGTATAGTCAGTATAGTCCCGAATATATTTCGGTATAAGGAACCCAAGCCAATTGAATTCTGTAGGAAATGTTGATTGTAGCTCGTGGAAGTTCCCAAAACAAGGGGACCCCCAATACACACCCCAACATATTGTAAGCCTAAACAGGTACCCATAATTTTGGGAAACCCCCACATAAGCTTGAGAGTACTTGGGCCAGGGGTATACACTTTCCTGGAAGACGGGCTCGTTTTCCGCGCCCAGTTCAGCATTACGGCTATGGCCGCCGTATCAAGCATCGAGGCTGGACAAAGCTGAGGACTGTGTTAACACAGCACTAGAGTACTCCAGTAATATGGGTTATTCTCAGAATCATGGGCCCCCATTTCGGTACAAATTATGTTACGGCCCCTAATTATTTAGGGTTACCGAGATGGGATCTTCATTTTGGGAACTACCCACATAATACGTGTTATATGTGTTTACCAGTTCCCATCAGATTGGGCCAGGTATGGCTGGGAACGTCAAATGACTGGCTTGGCAGCACTGACAGGCCTACCAAAGAACAAGGCAGCTCAATTGCACTCAGCAAGCATGCAGAATTTCTCACAAGATTTCTCGGGTCGTGGGTCGCAGGGCTGCATCTTTCCATATCTTTCCTGCATATGTGCACAGAGTGGACTGCGAGGTGCCTTTCAGGGTGACGAGTTCACGCCCGTTCCACAGGCACCCATCCTGCGCGTTCGATCCAGTCTGGTGCTGAATGTTGCAACACTGCATGCCGCCACCGGGCCTTACTGGCGGCTGTTAGTGGAAGCAGAGACTAAGGAGAAGAGTATTTATTTTTCTTCTCCAATCATCCAGACAGCCACGCAATCATCGTCGAAAGATCTGGGCACTGGGAGGATATATACGCCTGCTTCCCAGTTGTGTTACACTTCTGCTTAGGGTGCCTGGGTGTGCACCTGCCTTTCGTACAAGGCCCTCACCTCTTCAGCCACAGAGGCCTCATTCTCTGATGGCGCTTATGGCATTTACGTGCGCGTGGTTGCAACAAGACAGCCATTGTGAACAGTGTAGAAGGCAAAGATTCATGTGAGGTCCCTTTTGGAAGTTTTTCCTTTGGCGAGACAAAGTCCTCGAGCTTCTTCTATGGAGCCTCCTGGCATCCAAAGGGGTGAGGTTACTTATCCCAGAGCCCTGCCTGTAAAGTGGGCCCATCGTCAAGATTAGCCAGGCTTGCTGAAGCATGGATTCTCCCTTACATCGCAAACCTTTACCTGTCGAGCTTCTGCTCGGTGGCAGCTGCCTGGACTTGTGGAAGCACAAATGAGCCACAGAAAATCACCTCCATCTCATAATAAATCCCCCAACCCCATTCATAATAATGCCCCCAGTATAGTACCATAATATGCTACAGGAATGGGGTGGGAGAAGTTGTTTGTTACGGGGAAGTGATTATTTGAGCTTGAGACGGCGAGGGCGGCTCCTGATGAGCGCGCACAAGCCGTCACGGCTAAGGCAACGGAGGCAGATCGTCTGATGGATTTAATGCCGGCATCGGCACGCGTTTTCCGAAATTATCCGATGCGGCCGAGCAGAAGTAACCTTTTGGCCGATCAGCATGCATCCGGTGAGCTTTTTGTTTTTTGCTTCTGCCAGCGGTGGAGGTTGGGATGCTCATAGGGTATGGCACATGGCATACATTGGTGTACGGTTATTGTTGTTATATTCTATGATATTCTTGTGTTTCCTATGTTGTTCTATTACATTTTTGTTCTGTTCTGGTGGTTTCTCTGATATGATGTAGGTTAATATTTCTTGGCCCTCTAAGGTGCAGGATTATGAGCAGTGCGGGGACGGCACTGCAAATTCATCTGTGGATCCTCGCCTTGCCTCTAGAGTTTATTTTTAGAGTTCGTTGGGGTTGGGGGTATCTAGGGGTATATGGTTTCCCTGAATATGGGGAACCCAATGCAGACACCAAAATCTTATGACACTTCTTATGGAGACCCCCAGGGAAACTGAAAAGCAGGGATAATGGAGAAGGAAATGGAAAGCACTGTTTAGGGTTCAGTGTTTCGGGATATTACCTCAACAATGAAGATTCAATTGGAAAAAGAAGATGGACAATGAAATGCAAACTGGGATTATATATTGGGGGAAAGAAGGGTTAATGGAGCAAATTGGAATCTACTGAAGTATACTGGGGTATGTAAATTAGGGGATTTTTGGCTTCAAGGGATGATGATGGCCTGCTGTCAAAACTCTGTTCTGTTTGGGTACCCATTGGGGTGATGGAACAATAAGATGGAAACTACTGCAGGGTTTAGGGTTTTGGGGGTAGTATTGGGGGCTGTATTGTACCTGAGACCCATACACGGACAATTTTGCCAACTTACCATGTGGCAGTGACGGCGCTTGAAAAGGAGATTGTACTTTCCACAAACAGGGCGACCCCATAGACACCTCAAAACATGGTAATACTCCTTACGGGGACGTCCAAAAAGGTACCCATGATTTTTGGGAAATCCTAAACCCTCAACAGTAGCTTCTATTTTGTTTTCCGTTATCTCAATATATCCCCATTACACCCTTCTGTTGGAGCCCCCCCCAGGTCACTACAACATCAGAGCAAAAAGTTGCCTGCATGTTTGATGTCTTCATTTTAACTCTATGGGATATAGGAGCTATAAATCGTATGCAGGCTGGGTCCTGCCCCCACCCAGCAACAGTTGGATAAAAACCCAAATTCTATAATTCTATATCGCCCTTAACATGACCCCTAATACAGGCTGTTACTTGGTGGGGGCAGTACCCACTATATGGAGCTAGAAAGGGAGAGACAGAGACAGAGAGATAGAGAGAGAGAACGAGAAAGAGAGAGAGAGAGAGAGAGATATGTAGCAAGCAAGCAAGCAAGCAAGATATGTAGATATATATGTTGGCGAAATCCAAACCACACACTCCATAGATGTTTCCTCAAAACTAGTCTACCAAGGCATCTACGGAGTCCAGAGGGGTGAGGTAGTGAAAATCCGGGCCCAACTCGGGGGCAGGGACGCCCGGAGTGGCCAGTCGCAGTCGGCTACTCCAGAGCCCGCACGAAAGAAATATATGTGTATATATACATATATATAGATGGATATGTAGGGATATCTAGGGCCCAGGGTGTAGGTTTAGGTTTCAGTGGTCGATTGGCAGAAAGGTCCTCCGCATTGGTTTACCCATGCTCAGTAACAGTTGGAGAATATTGGATAGCATTTATAATATAAATCTGACTATGTAAAGCTCTTCTTTGCAGCCTTATTATGGGTTGTTGTTGGGTGAGGGCAGTGCCCCAAATATTTGTATTTATGCGGTTACCAGTTTTCCAACCCGGCGGCGGCTGAGTATACAAAAGGTCCCCTCAGCGTAACACTGTTCATGTCATGAACATTCCCTTGGCGTTCGGATGGAGTCTGTAAAGCTTTGGCACTGACTACTTGATCACGTTTGAATAGGGAATGAGGGGAAGGACCCCAGAGTACTGCCTACAGAATCCGCTATAATGGTCTCTAGAACTCATTCCTGCATTTCCTCCTGGCCCTACTGACCACCAACAACCCTAAATGCTGTATTAGCCTGCATGTTCTTTTCCGTTTCCCCATTCCTGACCAACACCCAGCCTGACCTTTTCCTTACTTGCGGTAACGGTAGAAGGGGAGTGAATATGGTTGCTATAGCAGTGGCATTGGTCTGCGTGAGGATTCTAGAGGGATAGTTAGAGGAATCCCTTTCCCCTCTCCTCCTATGCACAGGTAAACTGCAGCTAGAGGCCGTTGACTCCAAAGCCTTGTAAAGATCCGCCACATCTATAGCACAGTCTGTACTGTGTCTACACACATTGTTGATGCTAAAGATTTTGCATGACCCGAAGTACCCTAATCCTTCGGGAAGTCTGGGGAACTGTGGGAGTTTAGTAACATAAGGTCATGCAGGTTTTCTAGTATGAACCGTAGGTCCTGTCATCAGATTTGCGCGCAGCTTGCCAACAGGACACAAAAACCTGGATGTTAACAGGTCGTCATTGCTTAGGCTTGCTGCACTAGCATCGCTCATATAGGGATCAGGGCTTATATGGGGGCCTTACAATCGGGGATACATGGGGTTGCAGTGGAGAATCCGAAGGAAAATTGCATGTAAGATAAAATGGATAGAGATATGGAAGCTGGGGTTCTATGGTGGCTTCCCATCCCCCACCTTGACAGGATGGCTGTGGATCAGCTGTGTTTGGAGCACGTGTTTGAGCAAGCTAAATAATGCAGAGTCCATGTACACTAATCTGTGAAGTTGCTTGCGAGATGCATACCCAAACCCTAACCCTAAACCCCATAAACCCCATCTGCCTGACACTGAGGATTGCAAAAAGGCTGACTACTGCTGGCATCAAATGGCGCTGGCACACAGCAATTGCCGAGCCCCTTGCATGACCAAAGTTAGGTTGGGGGGACCTACGGGGGTATGCATCGGGGGTCTGGGATGACCGTTAACGAATATACTATAATTTTGGTCCAGGGCTCATATCAAGTTGCCACGCTGACTACCCATGGAGGCCGTTCATGGTACTGACAGTGATGAGAACGGTTGCTAATATATAGCAGGATGCCAGCTCCGACTACAGCAGAGCCCTGGTCTCAACCCCTAGTATTCGCCTTAAGCCCTATAGTAGTTACCTATGTAATCCTATATCACCCCTGTTAAAGAGTTTAGACTACAGCTCATCAGGTGCTTTTCGTCTCGACGATGAGCATTGGGGAAATCAAGAAGTACATCTGTGGGAGATCTACTTGCGCAGCTGCTGCCAGGTGGTTCCCACGGTACTACCAGTACGGGATTGAGGGGTCTATATTGTGTTACATAGTATTTTTGGGTCTATATTGGGTAGTATTTAGGGGTTTATGCTCAGGTCTTGTTGTATTTTGGGATCTACATTGGGTAGTATTTAGGGGCCCCTATTGAGGTTCTGTAGTGTCTTTCAGGAGCACATATTGGGTAATGTTTAGGGGTCAAATATTTAGGGGCCTCGATGGGGTGCGCAGGTTGTACAGGAGATCACACAAAGATAGCGTTGGCCAATTTCAGGGATCGGTGTTACGATGCGCAGGAAAACCAGGCTTACGTCCAAGTGACGTAGAAGCAGGAGGAAAAGATGAAGAATAAGAAAAACAAGAAGACGCGCGCGCCAAGGTTAGCCGCACCATGTGGAAGGCTTTCAGCAATTGGGGTTCCTTTTGGGAGCCACTCCAAAAAACAAGCGTATGTTGGGGTTTGCATTTTGCGCCCCTTTCTTACGGTCCCCATGTTGATTAGCTATAGGTAAGTATATGATGAGATTATTGGGAACTCGGACCCGTAGATACTACTACAACTATTACTACTACACCACTACTACTACTACTACTACCACTACTACTACTACTACCACTACTACTACTACTACTACTACCTATCGTGTTGTTATTTGACGGTACATTATTCTGGCATGTGTCCTTTGAAAACC